TTTTCGCTGTATCACAGCTCATCAATTTGACCAGACATCCGAATGCTTCAAGCCAGGATCAAAACCCGACCGATTTAGTATCAGTCGGATTTTCTACCTCTAACCCGTCATTCCTTCGGCAGAGAGAAAGGCGAATTCTTGCCTATTGTTTTACGAATGTAAACAAACGCTAGACAGCCAGTCTGCTTTATTCATTAATGAAGAGCGATGATTTAGCTCTGACAGCTGTTGTTTATAGAATTCGCCTATCTCTCAACGGTTCTTACCCGGAAGATTTTCGAGAGCGTTATAATGTCACTCGCATTCAGGCCTGTTTCGCTGTATCACAGCACAGTAATGCGACTAGATATCCGAATTTTTCAATTCAGGATCAAAACCTGAACTATACGTTATAAGCCATCAGCGCTTCAGCAAAAAGAAGGGCGAATTCCAGCGCTTTTTTAACATATGTCTTAGTGTGACAGCGCCAACTGTGACGTTCTATTCTGCTCTACTACGGCGCCAGTTGTGACGTCCTCAAACAGCACCACAGGTGACGTCTTCGCCGTGGCGCCAGCTGTTCGCTCCTCGCTGCTCCGTCCAGGTGTCGCTGCTCCAAACGTGACGTCCGCCTGTCGCGTCAGTCGTATTGTCTCGTACTGTGACGACCAACTGGCTTGGTATCGGTTGCGGCACCCAAATGTGACGTTCTAACCTTTTGGTGATTCGGGTGAGAATCTGGTTAGATTTGATACCAGTCTCGTCGCTCCCAACTCGCTTCCAACGCCTGGTTAACAAGGTAACTGCATTGATCTCCAGTCTGCCTACCCACGTTGTGAATTGATCTTAGACAGACGAGATCAAACAGTGGTTGGGGCCGTAATGCAAATTGAGTTCAACGGGGGTGATAACACACAAATATGCATAAAAGAAAAAAAAATGAAAACTCAAAAGTTCAAAGTATCAAAGAAAAAGGTAACAAACTTTATGTCTAGTTGTTCGATACATGGGACTGCATCTATCTCCGACCCGTTCTGTGGATTGTGACACGTCGTTTTCGCTAGGCAAATTTTAACGCTTCAAGTTGTTTGCTCTCTAAGAAATTTATGTTTAGGTGTGTCTTTGGACGAAAGTCGAAAAAAAACTTATTTCGGTGGTCTGGTCCTAAGTCGCTCTTCAAAATAATTGTTCTTGGTTGAAGAGGAGTCCGGAATTTTGCGTGAATCTTGGTCAGCTATCTCGAGGCGGCTTCAACTCTGGAAACTGGAGCTCGAACTCTTTGAACACTCATCTCTGCCGCCTGGGCCCGAACTTTCTGGACACATATCTCTGCCGCCAGGGCCCGAACTTTCTTGACAATCATCTCTGCCGCCAGGGCCCGAACTTTCTGGACACTCATCTCTGCCGCCAGGGCCCGAACTTTCTGGACACTCATCTCTGCCGCCAGGGCCCGAACTTTCTGGACACTCATCTCTGCCGCCAGGGCCCGAACTGATTTCTGCCTGTTGGGGCCTGGCTTTTATTAACGCCGATCAAAACCGGGGTGGGTCTGTTGGCGTCCGGGGGTTCCTCGATAATTCTAAATACATATCCACCTCTTTTATTTCTGGTTAGGGATTTTCCACTCTTTTCGATTTTTGGTAACTTTTTCTCACTCCCACTTTCTCACCATACTTCTGAGGGGCGTGAACTGCCCTCCCCACTTCTTCGTAGCAGCTTCTTATACTTATACTCTGGATGGGGGCGTCGACAGCCTTCTTCGTGCGTCACGTGATCAGTCTCAGTCAATGAGGTCTTGGTCGTGTATCTTTCCTCCTCCCTCGTGCGTCACGTGATCACCACTTGACCAATGATGTCTTAGTCGGGCGTGAACAATCCGCGGCTTTGTTTCGGAAAAAAATACCTTGCTTAACTAAAACAAAATATCTTTTGTTTTTCTTTTTCTTCCTTAATCGCCGTATCATTTCTCTGGCCACCAACGGGAAAATATGAACAATGGGGTTATAATTCTTGTTCTACACGTGGCTTACGTCAGGTATTTTATCGCTAATTTACCAAGATGGTTGGTATTCTTAACCTGGCCTCAAAAAAGAATTATCCCCAAGTTTTCAGTCAGTCTGACGTCTCCAAGGAAGAAAGAAAAACACCCCTGGGTCCCCACCCATTTTCCTTCGGCACATATTCCTGATAACATAAATTTTTTATCGCAGGCAAAAGTTGTTTTGTCGAAAAGAATTTAGTTAGCGAGACTGCTTGTGTGGGATTTTAATTTTCCGTATCTAACTAAGGCTCTGTAGCTACACCTTTGTTTTGTCAATTATCAAAATTAACGTTTTCAAGTGGACTTTCTTTGGCGAACATTTCTTGATAACACAATTCCATTCGCGCAGGCCAAGTAGGAAAATCGGTCAACGATTACTCGTAGGTGGCCTTTAATTTTCATATCTGTCCAAAGTCTTTTGTAGTCGCCTGTTTCTTTTCGTCACTTATCGAAATAACATTTTCACTTGAATTTTTCCCTTGGCCGATGGTCTGTGTTGATAATAAGATGCCTTCCCGTACCAATAGTTTGTTTTCATATCCTTAGATAACACTTCCTTACCCACTCAAATCTCATTGTCATTGGAATGACACTCTTTCGCCATTTGCCACTTATCAAAATAACCCTTTTTTTATTGCCTCTTAGCCGTGTGTGTGTTCGCTTATCACCTATGATTCGGATCTCGCCTCACTTTTCCCTTCCTTTCTTCTTTTCTTTCTTTTCCCTTTCTGCCTTTCTTTCTCTGCCTGGATGCTGGTGCCACATTAGTTTTTAAAATGTACATCAACAATGCGTTTAATTAATTGTTCGCTACAAAAAAAATTAATTATAATCTAACATCACCATTCGAACTGTTACAAATCGCCTTACGTTTATCCTTCGATGTCTAGTGAGACTAATACGTATTTCCAAAGTACTATATAACCTCTGGTAAAAAAAAATGAAACTCGTATTCCATTTTCTGCCTATGAGTCACAGCTGAACATTATTTTCACTGGGTATGGTCGAAGTTCTTTTCCTCATAAGACCTTGTTTACTGACATACGTAAGGTCATTGGTCGGCAAATATTAACGTCATTTAGTCATAGACGAAATTCCTTCAGATTCTGGATACTGAGAATACGTGTATTATCTTCAATCTAATACGACGTGAAAAATCATCGTTGTACCTTTATTAATAACCGAACTGAAAACTGATTGCAACTGGACTATTTTCCTGGCAATAAAGTCGGGAGTGCTGCAATTTAGTCAATTAGAGAAGGCCCTATTTGGTTTTACACCTTTAATATAGATGAGGAAATGGACAGAGTCATAACATTCCCGTAGGTATTTCCCCCGTAAGTCAATGCAAGGAAACCGACAAGACCATACATCAATAGCCCGAACTTTAGTAAAAACGTTTTGTATTATTTCAACATTGGCTTCGTTTAAACAGTAACAGAATTATTTATAATAGGATATCCAGTTTCAGTCAAGCTGCTAACAGAACACTGCCCACAGAAGGTTAATCTCATGCTAAAATTCCTCAGCAAAAAATAGTCTTTGATCCTCGAAATAAAGATTTTGAGGAAATGCGTTTGCAACATATGCAAAATACCCACTCGTATTATAACTACTCTTAAAATCTGTACATTTATTGTCATATATATATATATATATATATATATATATATATATATATATATATATATATATATATATGTATGTATGTGTGTGTGTCTGTGTTATAATGGTATATAATTTTCTATATCAACAAACAGTATTTATAAAAATAATATGACAGATTGGAAAAATACAGGATTTTCTGACATGTTTCGTCCGTTAGAATTTCGGCGGACTGCATATTTTTCATGATACCACGTCTATATATGCGCACAAAACGAAAGATGTTGCTAGTTACAAAACTCTTGAAAGAATATATTTGAAAGAATATTTCTTTTTCAATCTAGCCTTCTTCATCTATATTCTTTTTCTTTTTCTCTCCATCAGCTTAGTCTCTGACTCTCCGACATAGTGACAACTGAAAATCTACTAAGAACTGTGATATAATGCAAGAGACTGGACGCAAATTTACCGTGGCTGAATTAGCTATCAAGTCAGTTTCCAGATATTTTCGTCTCAGAGGATAATTTTCTCTTTCAATCAAAGTAGCAGTAACTATGTCAAAATTCTGGTAAGTTTCCTGAACAAACAATATGTCAATTTTGAAATGATTATTTTGTGTGTTTCTAGTCTTTTTTTTAAAAACTTCTTGAATGTTATCGAATGTATTCATTCTGGAAATTCCTTCACTTGATGGAGTTAATTCCTCCTTTTACATTTATCTGGTTCTTTGTTTTTTTATTGATTAAGTATTTACTTGTTTTAGATATAGTTGCGACAAATTTTATGTTGAGCTTAAATAAATACTTTTTTTCGGTATTAGCTGTGATAGAGATAGTCGGTAGAATAATATATGATTTTAAATCTTTCGATTTGTCAGGTACGATATCTCTTCAATTTTGTAATAATTTATGACACTTACGTTTCTCAATGAATATTAAATACTTAGGTTATTGAAGGTCCTTGAAAGTATTCTTGATATATTTATTCTCTTCGTGTAAATATTGAGAGTTTCAAATTTTCATAACCATAATCCAACGAACATTCCTGATTTATATAGGTGGTGCGATTTGTTTCCTGCGTGTATGTAGACATGGCAACATGATAAGCGCATTCAATGAAATCTTAACGGATGAAACTCGTCACAAAAAACATTTTTTCCAATTTGTCGTACTACATATATATATATATATATATATATATATATATATATATATATATATATATATATATATGATTTTGAATATAAAAATATGGGTCCTTGCTCGATTAGATAATCGTTATATTTATTTTTTATATGTTTATATTTAATTTGTAACTTGTAGTCGATATTAAATCTGTCAAATTTTCTCAATTACACAGCGGCGCTTTCAGTAAATGTCCTTCAATTTTACTTTCCTTCGCCCTATCTCTCTCCCCGGCCTCTTCTTTCCTTTCCTCTCCCTCCCTCTTATTCTGATCTTCAACATTAGATCGTCTATGGTGTGTGTATGTCACTACGAAATGTATCTTTTTGTATTAGACATCCGACAACATTCATATTTCTCTTACTTAAACCCCTTCCACTCACCTCTCATAAAATTCTCTCTGTTAAGGTTTAATCTCCCTCCTTCTCTCGTCTGTTACCCCTCTCTTTAGCTCTAACATTCGTCCTACACTCTCATACTTACACTCTCTCTGAATTCTGTTTTTATTTCCGGAGTTGTTTTTTTCTGTTTTCTTTTTGAATTTGTAGGTCTGATGAATTGGATCGTATTTGGAATAAATTATGACCATGGAATATTAGTGTTTAAGCCTTTTTATTATATCCTTACTCTGTCCTAGACATTGAGTTCTACCTGGATTCTATCCTCTTGGAATTTTTATTAAAAAAATATACATGTATGTGTATGCACCTATGTATATATATATTTATATATTTTGCATATGTATGGGTATATTTACCACTAATATTATATATATATATATATATATATATATATATATATATAGTGTATTAGTCCGTTGTATTCGACGTATGAGGATCAATCAGCTCAATTCTTAGGAACCGATAGCCTGACATCAGCAGATATGTTTTAAATATATTAGTGAGGCTTTGTGCAGAACAAGCCACACTTTTTGAAAGGACAACGTCCCTAAAAGATAAAAAGGTTTTGAATTCAGAGATTTCCTTCTTCTAGACCAGTTGCCATCCAATCTGTCCCGCTATTTACCGATAGCTGGAGGGAGAAGAAAAGTAGTAATGACTTTCCCCATGTGTATTCCCACGTATTTGAATGTAATGGATTCGACTGGAATTCGATCCCGATTCTTCAATCCGAGCCGCTATTCACTACTCATGTTGCATACACACACACACACACACACACACACACACACACACACACACACACACACAAACAAACACACAGAGACGCACACACACAGACACACGCACACACACATATATATATATATATACGCACTCACACACACACACCTATATATATATAGAGAGAACTACTAATACCTCACACAATTATATAGTTATATATATTCCCGTCCTATTATAAAAGTGTTAAATCTAACACACACACACACACACACACACACACACACACACACACACACACATATATATATATATATATATATATATATATATATATATTCGTGTATTTAGCAGAAAATTCTTTTTTAGGCATATCTGATTAAATAAATTACTAGCATTACGATTGTTATTTTGGGCATAATCCGTTCAATAATAACATATATTTTTCCGTATATTACAATCAAATGATGCAAGTAATCGCTTTTATTCCCCAAATACTTTCCATCTCTTTCTGAAA